GAAGAGTCTTCCTCCCCTGTTCAGCTCTCTAAATTCGCGGGGGGGGGGGGGGGGGGGGGGGGGGGGGGGGGGGGGGGGACTTCTGACTTCAAGGTAATGATTCAGTCAGTAGCTGATGACAACACCATTTCCTTGATTCCTCCCCTCCCCCATGAAGAAAATCAGCAAACTTTTTATGGCAAGGGAGAAAATTTAGAGAGCTGAACTGGGGAGGAGGAAGAATAACTTTGAGAAGTATGAAATGCTATTCAGATGGCAAACAAACCATCATCTTACTCCTACAAAATGCCTGTATTATAGCCAATCAAAGTCCAGTATGTTCTGTATGGACATTAACTGTCAATGACAAAATAACTGTACCTTATAAAAATAGGACCAATTCAAAATTTGCTGACTTCTGTATATAGTTTTCTACTTCTTCTTAATTTCTGAATGATTTCACAGATATTTTTTACCATTCGGTCTATGGATAATGGAAACACATAATTTATCATAGTCTGTCTTGTAAATTATCTACAGTTCTCAATCCAAAATGCAATATATTGCTAGGGTGCATTTATCTTGGTGAGTCATCAGTTACCATAATCACTTATTTTTTTCCCCCATTGATTTTAGCTCATGATAATTAGTTTCATAATCTTCTGTATCCTAAATGTGAAAATTAGTTTTTGGGAGATAGTAATTTCTTCTTGTAAGCTACTGGCATATTCCTTCTCAGTTGAAATGTGTAGATAGATTTTAAGGACACATTTTTATTAAAACAATATCTAACCATAATATTAATATAGTACATTTTTTTATATCTATGTGCTGTCTTAGCTGCTATTTATCTTAAACTATGCCTACATTTTTTTTTATTTACAGAGAAAGCAAATTTGATTAAGCATCCTCCTGTTGCTATTCTCCCTCTTGGAACTGGGAATGACTTAGCCAGATGTCTAAGATGGGGAGGAGGTAAACAAAAATAAACTTACTTAAAATATAAAGTGTTTTATTTTATCCATTTTCACATTTTAATCATTAATTTCTTTTTCTACAAAAGCATCACATATGTAAAACTGTATCATTGTAAAAAAAATTAAATATATTTCTTTTAAAAATTCTTTATGATCTGATATTTAACATAATTCAATTAGGTAGAAATTCAGTGGATTAAATGAAGGTATCCAAATTGTTTTTGGCTACTATAAGTGTCTGTCTCAACTCCTGCATATTATAGCCATGTCCGCTAATTTACTTTGTGTAATTCTGCTGGAAGGTTTGTAAACTCCAAGAATGCTTTGCATTATCTTATGTAGCTATTGTATAGTTGGACTGGGGAAACATGACTGTGAATTGGGAAAAAAACTGATTGTGTTCACTTCCTAAGCAAAAATTCCACATTTTGTTGTTGTTGTAAATCAGTAATAATTTTATACAGTACTTTATATAAAAACAGTGTATTACATCAGTGATCTTATTCAGTGGCCAGTTAGCAATGCCACTTTACAGGTTCCTTTAGTAGATAATATAATAGAAGAATTTATATGTGGAGAATACGCAAATCATGTTAATTTGCTCTCATCTTTGACATATGTAATATTCATCCATTCATATATTTAGAACCTGAGACCAATAGATATGATTTTCTACATATTTTATTCTTTGGATACATTATTTTCACAGTGTGAAGAAGTCAAGAAGTTTTATGAGTTTCATTGAGTATGATATAGTAAAAGGAAATCAAAACATGAACTATAGTATTTTCTGAAAGAGAATTGTTCATGTACTGAATTATTCCTATTTGATCTCAAATGTAATTTACTTATAGGTATTTGTTAATGTTTGGATATCTTTCAAAGCAAGTATCAAGATATAAATATAGTTATTTCCTTCTTCTCCCATCCAGTAGTAGATTTCAGACAACCAGTCTTATGGTGTTCTCTACCAGGATCCATGGAGGCAAAGAACAAATTAAAAAAGTATTTCATTTAAAACAAGCCTCCTGCAACCTTGTCTCCATATTTCAAAATATGAAGACCAGATCTATTTTTTGTTCCAGTACTTGATTTGTGAGATTTCACAAGGAAGGAGAATGAAAACCTGTCCAAGATGTTATGTAAAGATAAGCCAAGGAAACAGGAGGCTTTGATGTTGTAAGTCCTGCTGCTTTAAGATGCCAGTGAAGTCTCAAAATGACTTTTATTATAGTTATCTGCAGAAGATTCTAATTCATAATTTATTGCTGCTTTAGTGATCCCTCATTGAAACATCTTATTATGTATTCCTTTAATTTCTCTTGTGCTTCTTCTAACCTTTAAGATAACCTGTATACTTTTTTCTTTTAAAATAAATTAGTATGTACCTGATTAGTCCATTAAAAAGAAACCATAAAAAACTATGAAAATTATCCAGAGATTTAAAAATGATAAAACATAAAATAACTTAGAATTATATTACTTCATCTTATAATTCTGTAAATATTCTCAGAGTTACTGTGCTTCTTTTTTCTGCTGGAAAAATGGATTAGGATGGCATATATCAAATTAGACCTTTGTATTGAACTGTGCCCTCACAGTTTTTGAGGTCCCATCTTGATTAACAATGAAATCATTCAAGACAGACAAAGATTTAAGATTTTTTTCACTGCTTTTTAAGGAAATCAGTGTCACCTTTGTTCTTATAAGGACATATCTAACATATCTAGTTGTTCTTGATATACTTAGCATTATGTATTCCTTTGTATGAGCCACACCTTGAAAGTAGTTTTTAATAGCTTTAGAAAAAAATAAATCATAGCTTATAACGCAATTTCACTATATAATCAATTTTTTTTCCTTCTGGTTACATGTGCAGTAGTGTCTTTTCCATGTTCCCAGTTCTATGTTGTTATAGCAGTTCTTTGACACTTTCTATATCTCTTACTTTTGCCTGCTAAAGATCATGGTCTTTATGCATGTTTGGATCTTTCCCTGTAAATATTTTTAGATGTCTTTCTAACTCACATCTAAGTTTTTTGTTTCAATTAATACATTATTTTATACAGTTTTATTAAAATTAATCCTTGTTCTCTAAACTTCTAATAAAAAAGCAAAATCAAGTAAAATAATGTTATTTTTACTGACTCTTAATCGATCTTAATAACATATGACTGGAAATTTGGGAGAATACATCTTGACTCTATTATTCTTGATCTTTGAAAATAAAGTAAAATCACTTTATTTTTGATCTTTTTTACTTTTACATATCTATCTCACATCTTGTGAATTGTTTCCTGTAAAATAAAGGATATTTAGAAGAGGTATTATTTTTGCAAATGCCATATGCCAAGCTTGTTATAGAACATAATTATTAGAATGATGACATATTGTTTTACTAAGTGGAGTTCATTTAGGAGGCAGCACTAAATTCTGACTTAGTTCAATTTTATATGATCTGTAAAATTTCATTTCTTAGATTGCTTAATTTGAAGGCATTTTCTTGAATGTTTTTCTTTTTGAAATTTAGTTTCTATTGACTGCCCAATTCAGATTACTTCTATTAAAATTTAGTAAACTAATAAAACATTAAACAAATTTGTATTATTAACTTAAATTATTTTTAATTTACAATTAGCTTTCTGCATCTTAGATCAATGGCACATTAAATCTTCTACTAGCCAAAAACTTCATTAATAGTATTTTTGTAACTACTCACTTCAGGGATATGTTTGAATTTCAGTGCATACATTTGCCTAAAATAGTTGAACTAATGATTATAGAATTCAAATTAAAAATTCTAAGTTCTAAGAAGATATCCTGCTATTCTTATATAAGGTGCAGCTCATTTCATGTGCACATTCTTCATATATAAAATATTTCTAAGTGTATTTAAGAAGCCCACAAATATTTAATACTTAATAATGTTCTATCTTCTGATTTATTGATTATAACTGAAAATATTTCAGCTCACATGTTCAATAGAAGGATAGATTTCTTTAGGAAAACCTTGATCTTTTTTATTCAGAAATGGCAAAAATCTGATAGAATTCATACAAAAGTACTTCTTGAATATAGATGTAATTTAACATTTTAGACTGAAGTCAACTATATTTATTTGCGGTGCGCATTATTTTACCACTAGGGTATACGAACAGCAGAATATTCTTCATTGTATTCCTTAAGCTCTTCTCTAGAGCTTCTTTCTGCAATCCCTGATTGTCTGGAATCTTCTGCAGAGTAGAAAAAAGTGGAGCCACATAATAAAACATGATTCAGTTTTTTTCAGAACTCATGTTCTCTGATGCTATTACTGAAATTCCATAACTTCTTTTTTTTAATGGACTATCCATTCTGGATTAGGGCTCAATCACTTTACAAGCCTCCTGTTAATCCTAGAAAAATTCTTTCACCATTCTTTGCCTCCTTCCCTCTGGTAGCTGATGCCACAAGACTGATTTTTTTTTCTCTGAAACTTTTCATAGGATTGGAGACCAGAAGGGATAACAACATTTTTTTATGCTGGTAAGTAGTTTTTTCCTTTTCAGTGACACAGACTTTTTGCATGGATTATGAATTATTAAACAAATAACCTTTAGCATACACTGAACTTACTCCATTGCTGCTGAATATGTTGCTTAGCAATTCTAATTTAGCATCTTATAATAGGAAAAAATGTACAAAGTCTGTTTTTTTCTCTCCACTATTCAACCAACACACCATTGTGTACATACATACAATTGAAACTATATTGTTAAATATAATAAAAATGGTAGCATGATAGAGATTGGCAGGATATGTCCAATAATGGTATGATTGCTGCTGTGTGTTTTCATGGCATCATCTAACTGGAAGCTTTCTTAATGATAAGTTGTTATTATAGTTGAAATAAAAATCTCTGTAAAACAGAATGCTTCCTTGGTGAGGACTTAGAAAATTTGTCTCTCATTGCTGAAGAAGTAATTGCTATTTAAATGTTGGAAGAAATGTCCTGCTCCTTTCTTGTCTTCCTTTTTCTGCAATTTCCATCAAAAGTGCTATAAATACAAATACAAAGATTACTACAACAAATCATTGCTGAACCCACAAATAGTTTCCTACAAATGGATTTTTACTATGATATTAAAGAAGCTTTAATATCATATATATGTGTGTGTGTCATATATATGTGTGTGTGATGTGTGTGTGTGTGTGTGTGTGTGTGTGTCATATATTAGTCCTGCCTTCATATTTTTCCTCTTTCACACACCTATTCATGGTATCTATGAATCTTATTTTAAAGACATAAGTATTCATGTTGATATACATAAGCAAACACACACACTCACATACATAACCATTAAAATTACTCTGAGAAAGAAGGACTATCAGGCTGTATGTAGGCTTCCTGCATTTCCACACCCAAAAGATATCTGCTTCCATTAACAAAAAGAATAGAAGAAAGACATTGTAAGAGGCCAAAGAATGACCAAAGAGGTGTCGGCTGATATCTATCAAGAGAGGCATGAAACATTAGGAGCATAGAACTTGCAAATCTTGTATACTAGCCAACTGGTAGGAGTGGCTGATATTTCAACATCAGGAGCTATCACAAAATAAATATATAATATTGCAGGAATAAAGCTATCTGTATCTTTTGTATAACCAGGGGTGGGATTTTACCAGTTCTGCCCTGTTCTACTGAACCAGTAGCTCCAAAGAGAGGCTGAGACTGAACCAGTTTGCTGCGATGATCTTCTGGCCTTTTGTTTGGCCACCTGCCCACCCGGGCTCTAGGCTGTGCTTTATTCCCTGATTTTTCCACCTCAGCTGCTTGTGTGGCACAGCTGAGCGCTGAGCATCAGCAGGAGAAGATGAATGTTTGCAGAAGCCAGTGATTTGTAAACAATATGCACACGTGCGCAGTGTGGGCCCACCGAACCAGTTGTTATGTTGGTAGGATCCCATATAACAGAATAACAATATAACAGAAATGAAATACTAATGACATTCGTAACTTAGGATAAACAGAAATAATAGATTATATGATATATATAAAAAAATCATCAATCCCATATGAATATAATAATAAGACTGTTCCCAAAGACTGAGAAAGCTGGCTATCTGGCATGTTCAAAATCATATACAGATACAGCATATAGTCACATAAATATTGGTCAGATTGTATCACATGCTAACAAAACACATCTCAGTGATGACTCCTCCAGAAAAGTTGTATTTCTACATTCAAATAATTTAGATTTATGACAATATTTATTGATGCATATATTTTAAAATTAACATAATGAAACCCAGCTATAATATTACATTGATTATGCCTTTCTTTTTGTATTGAGTATGAATGTTCTGATAGGTAGGACCTTATGAGCAATGACAAAGTTATCCAAGTCATGTTATGATATACAGAAATCCATTGAATCAAAGTCCCTAAAGTGTTTTTTTTTTCTGAAACCTTATCTTGGAATATTGCTTAACATAATGCCATTAATGAACTTTGCTTTGATATCACTTGCTTCAGCACCTCTGCCACTTCTTCACTCACTTACTGCTACTGTTCATTGGGCAATTAAAGACAGCAGACAATTATTTTGCAATTATTCAGAAATAAACAGGGAGCTAAGTGATTATTAATAAAAATTTGTGGTGGGCTAGTGGTTTGTTTTATGTTTTGCAGTAAAATATCTGATTCCCAACTCAGCTACCTAATTAGGGAGAAGATGCTAAATCCATACTTTTAGTTCCAGTGTCTGTGCCCTCACTGCTGAAATGGTGGCAAGTCATTAAAGCAGAACCAGGGGGTACAGATAGGTGCTAATGGTTAAATGCATCCTTTATGTATTAATGTGAGGTGCTGACCTAGTTCCTAAATCTGCCATTTCAAATCACCGTGCTTTATTTTTTTTCCAAAAGGATATGAAGGGGAGAATCTTCTCACGATTTTAAAAGATATTGAGAATAGTACCGAAATCTTGCTGGACAGGTGGAAATTTGAAGTCATACCTAATGATAAAGATGAAAAAGGAGATCCCGTGCCTTACAGCATTATCAATAATTACTTTTCAATTGGAGTGGTAAGATTTTTTTATATTTTCATATAATCCATTTTTTTTCCATTCAAAATAACTATTTTGAGCTGATGTTCAGCATGAGGGATGGCTGAATGCAAATAATTCATTTTTTCTTAGCAAAAGGAATATGTAGATGACACAATTTGCATAAATGTATTTACATAGTCAAAGTAAAATTATTTTCTCAAGCTCTTCCACCTGTTCTTGCATGGGCAATATAATCACACTGTTTGTAATGGTTTGTATGAAGAGCTGTAGCACTAAATTAGTGGTGCCTATACAAATATCAAGGATGAATCATTCATTAACACCTCTTATCTGTCATGTTAGTAAATATTCAGATTTTTAGATGAATGCTGTTGAAGTACATTTGTTAATGTACTTAATGGATAGGTAATGGATAGGTAATTGATGACATATATTAGTCTACCTATTCCTTTCCTATACCAGTTGTTGACTTTCCTGGTGACATAGAAAAAGAATTGTATGTATGTATGTATGTATGTATGTATGTATGTATGTATGTATGTATGTATGATAAGCACATACTTTATATGCAAAATATCCCAGCTCCAATTCCATTGACCTCTGGGTAGGACTGGAAAAGATTTTAAGGTGGAACCAAGAATGGTCTGGTTATAAAATCATCGACAATAATTTTTTTTTCTAAAGTAATATTGAATGTAGGATTAGGACTATGAAGGCGGCCAAATCTTTTTTGATATATAAATAATTTATTACAAATTATTTGCCAAGATGTACTAAAGTGCTAATTATAGTCATTCAGAAATTTCTAGTACCTGTTGAATTACAGTCCAGTGAGGAAATCCAAATAATATATTGACTGTATATTTTGTTGGTTTGTTTGTATCATGCCTTTATTATTACAAATCTACAATTTTCTACAGTACCGAAAATGTTTGCCTTCATTTCTTCAGTATTTAATAATCCAAGGTATTTAAGGTATTCATCCTCTGAATAGAAAAGTACAATTTTTTTCCACTTTTTTAGTGATAGGAGAAGCAATTTCTATGCATTGGCATGAAAAAAGTTCCAAATCTTCTGCATCCCCCCTCCCCCTCCCCCTCCCCCTCCCTCTCTCCCTCCCTCTCCTCTCGCTCTCTACCCATCCAACCATCCATCCATCCCATATCTATCTCTCACAGAATAGATAATACTAGCATAGAACAAATGTTTAAATAAAAATAACAATGTAAATAATAGAACAAGAAAAATCAGAATGATCAATAAATGTTCTCTAGGACAGTTTAGAAACATCTTTTTTGGTGAATTTTTTGATTAATTCATTATACAGCAACCTTGTAACTTTCAACTTTATAATTATGATAAGGAAAAATTAAGACATTAATGTAGGAATCTCTTTTGAGACCTGTGAAAACTGTAATTTGCAATGTAACAGCAGTTAAAATATACGTACGCTGAACTACCAAAAAAAGAAAGAAAGAAATACCTTAGAACTTACTGAGATTCATGTGGAGAAAGATCCTCATTTGTATTACTACTCCTGAGGAATAGAAATCAGCTTGTGTTCACTGTCTAGTTTATACTGCAATGTAGCAGTAAACTATGTATGACAAAGGTAAGTGTAGTTTTAGAACATTTAATATATTGCCACGTAAATGTATAATCAGGAATTTTAATTGTTGTATTTTAATATCATTCAATTGTACTCAGTCACTAAGATTCTCTCTTGATAGTAGGCTAAACCTTCAAATCCTGCTTAATTCTCATAACAATACATTTTGGATTAGTGACAAGCTTTCTCTCTTCACTGCAGTTATTTTAAATTTCTGTCAGTATGTTTAATTCCTTATATTTAATATATTTTTCCAGAATAAAAGAAGAATATGAACTACTAGAAACCTGGACATCACATTTAATTTTGTTCTGGATAAAGATTTTCTTTTGACATCACAATACAAGTGATACATACAGTTTTGTAACTTATGGTAGCTTTTACATGGCAGTAAATCAAAGTGATATCCAGAAAGAGCATTAAAAATAAGAGGAGTAAGATGAATTGTTTTACTGTACTAGCTACTCTTAAATTATATTCAAATTATTTATATTTTGTTTAACTCAATTATGATAGTAAGTCCAGGACTAACTAGATTAGACTAGACTAGACTAGACTAGACCATACTATTACCATACCATACCATACCATACCATACCATACTGACTTGTAAGTTATGCCATTCAATAAGTGACTCATCATCTTACTGCTCCTGATTTCATGACTATTTTTCTGGTGTCAATTAAATGAATGACTGCAGTTAAGTGAATACCACAGCTGTTAAGTAAACACCACAGCTGTTAAGCAAATGTATTGTCTGCAATGGTCATTTTTTGTGAGAAACAAATAGTAAATTGGGATCCTATTACCACATGACAGTTTAAATGGCTGTAAATGCAGGCTGGTTGCAGAATGTCCCAAATGTGATTATGTGACCATTGGAAGGCAGGGCAGCTGGCTGTGGAAATTTCAAATCCAGGTTGTAAGAAATCTTAGGAGTTCTGGTACAATTTTAAACATTCCTAAGGAACGGGTAATAAATTGAGGATTACTTATGATATGAACATATAATAGTATTTTTTTGTATTCTTTAGTTAGCGTGTATGTATATGTATGTATATGTATGATATATGTATGATATGCTGACTGTATCAAAAGTAAGTCACACATCCCGCAACTCAGCTTTAACCTTCAACCACAACCCTACCTTAACCAATCCACCATCACCCAAGACTTGGCACGCACGCCCCTAACTACCTCAATTCCAACTACTGCTGGCCTTAATAGCAAGCTACTCAATGCAAGAAGCCTTGTAAATAAAATACCTGATTTTTTCCTCCTACTAAATATGGCTAAATTCGACATTATATTTGTCTGTGAAACATGGCTCAACGCATCTCTCTCTGACTCCATTACCACAGTAAGAGACTATCATGTTTACCGATCAGATCGTGAAATTCGTAGAGGAGGTGGTGTTGCTATCTTCTATAAAAAGTCCTTACATCTAAAAAATATCCAAGTTACCCAGGAGCTTGCTCTTCCTGAGACCATTATCTGTGAACTATCCTTAAATATCACAATTTGATTCTTACTATGTTACAGAGCACCTGATTATGACATCGAACATGTAAACAAGCTAAATACACTACTAACATGGGCAGCATCCTGCCCATACCCTTTTATCTTTCTTGGTGATTTCAATCTGCCTCATATTGACTGGACCCTAAATGAATGTACAACTGAAACCATACACGCAACCTTTTACAGTTCTGTTACAAATCTGGGACTGGAACAACTAGTAACCAACAACACTAGACTAAACAACTGCCTCGATCTCATCTTCTGCAATAGTTTGAATTTAATTTACGGAATACAAACTAAACTACCCTTTTCCAGCAGTGACCACAATATGATTGACTTTTGTCTCAACATACGTCCACACCAAAACCACCAAAATGACGTAATCCCCAATTATAACTTCAAAAAAGGCAACTATGATCTTATAGACAACGATCTCTCATTCCTTGATTGGCAATCTCTATTCACTGGATGCAATACTGTTGAAGACCATTACAACATATTTTTACTTGAAGTTAAAAGAGTCATCAAACTATATGTACCAGCAACAACTCCGAAAACAAAACAAAAAAACAGATTGCCCATAACAATAAGGAAACTTCAATCCAAAAAGAGATCACTCTGGCGGAAAAACAAATCTGGTCATGTTGTCAATTTCAAAAGCCGATACAAAAATTTATGCCACCAGATAAAGACCGAATGCACCAATTATCACATTAAACAAGAGGAAAACCTTCTAAGCACCAATTCCACCAGTGCTTTTTACAATTTTGTAAACAACAAACTAAAAGATTCAAGGTCCATTCCACCCCTGATAGGACCTATTGGTAAAGACTGCAACGACGACACCATTAAAGCCAACATCTTTAACACATTTTTTGGCTCAGTATTTGTAAACAGCAATGGATCATGCCCAGTATTTCCTAGCCGAACCACAGATAAATACAATGATCTAATACATATCGATTTTACAGAAGACAATGTTGAAAAAGCACTTCGCAATCTAAAACCATCTCTATCTATTGGACCGGATGGAATATGTGCCTATTTCTTAAAAAAGCTATCCACTGCCATAGCCAAACCTATAAGCATAATCTTTGAAAAATCTTTCAGGACCAGTTCCTTGCCTAACCTATGGTCACAAGCCACAGTCATCCCCATCTTCAAAAAGGGAGACCCTAGTCTAGTTGAAAATTACAGACCAATCTCCTTATGCTGCATCACCTGTAAAGTCATGGAATCAATTATTAACCAATCCATCATCCTCCACTTAGAGACAAACAACCTACTCTCCAATAAATAATTTGGTTTCAGAAAAAAACTATCCTGTAATCTGCAACTCTTACACTGCAAAAACATATGGACTACACAACTTGATCAGGGCAAAACAATCGATGCAATCTACATAGACTTCTGTAAAGCCTTTGATTCAGTGGTACACGACAAACTACTACTAAAACTAAAATCTTATGGTATCTCTGGACAACTGGATAACTGGATAGAAGCATTCCTGTCAAACAGACAACAAATGGTCAAAATTGGGAGCGTCCTATCAAATTCTGTACCTGTCAATAGTGGTGTCCCCCAAGGCAGTGTTCTAGGACCAACTCTCTTCATACTCTACATAAATGACCTCTGTGATCATATTAAGAGCAACTGCGTTCTTTTCGCTGCTGATGTAAAGCTTTTCAATACCACAGAGAATACTGCTACCCTTCAAAAAGATCTTGACTGTGTATCAGAATGGTCAAACAAATGGCAACTTCAAATCTCACCAAATAAATGCTCTGTCTTACATATTGGCAAATAAAATCCGAAAATAAAATACAAGCTGAATAGTCAAGATCTTGTTGATGATCCAAGCTCTGTAAAGGACCTTGGAATACTC